CATCTATAGAACATTCCACCCAAACACAAAAGAATATATCTTCTTCTCAGCGCCACATGGAACCTTCTCTAAAATCGACCACATACTTGGCAATATAGAAAACCTCAACAGGTACAAAAAAAATGAAAATAATCCCCTGTATCTTATCAGACCACGATGCTTTAAAGTTAAATTCAACCACAATACAAATTGCAGAAAACCTACAAACTCGTGGAAATTAAGTACCACCCAATTGCACAATTCCTGGGTTGAGGAAGAAATAGAAAAAGAAACTAAAGATTTCCCAGAATTCAATGAGAATGTGGACACAACATATCTAAACATATGGGACACTTTGAAAGCAGTGCTAAGAGGAAAGTTCATAGCATTAAGTAACCATATGAAGAAAGAGGAGAATAATCACACTAGAGAATTAACAGCACAACTAAAAGCTTTAGAAAGCAAATTCACCCCGGAGGAGCAGATGCCAGGAAATAATCAAACTGAGGGCAGAAATCTATAAAGTCGAAACAAAGAAAATAATTCAAAGAATCAATATAACAAAGAGCTGGTTCTTCGAGAAAATCAACAAGATAGACAAACCTTTATCCAAACTTACCAAACAGCAGAGAGTAAACATGCAAATGAAAAAAATCAGGAATGAAAAGGGGGACATAACAACAGACACAGAGGAAATGCAAAGAATCATCAGGTCATACTTCTAAAACCTATATAACTTAAAATTCAAAAATCTAAAGGAAATAGACAATTTTCAGGACAGATTTCACTTACTAAAATTAAACCAAGAACAGATAATCAACTTAAATAGACCTATAACCCCTAAGGAAACAGAAGCAGTCATCAGAAGTCTCCCAACCAAACAAAGCCCAGGGCCAGATGGCTTCAGTGCAGAATTCTACCACAAATTCAAGGAACAGCTAATACCAGTCCTCCTCAAAGTATTCCACACAATAGAAGCAGAAGGGTCGTTGTCAAACTCTTTTTATGAGGCTTCAATAACCTTGATACCCAAGCCACACAAAGACACACTAAGAAAGAGAACTACAGACCAATATCCCTCAGAACATTGATGCAAAAATTCTTAACAAAATGTTGGCAAATCGAATCCAAGAACACATCAGAGAAATCATCCACCATGATCAAGTA